TGTCCAGGCCCGCAGAAGCCTGCCACAATCAACTACATCGTCGTCGCAGCTCGACGGCAGCGAACAGTGTTCACATCGAGGTCCGTTTCGCGTCATCTAGGAAAAGAAGAAAAGATGCCCTGCGAGGAACTAGCGAACAGTCTGGCAATCGACCACGCGTGCCGAGCCATTGATTGTGCGCGTGCGCATGGGCCGGCTGGGAAACCGCGGCAACACATAGGGCATTGCATGCGCGTGGCGCTTCGACAATCACGTTCTAGACAAACAATGGAAGGATGAGAAAAACCCGCGTAGACATCCGACGCCCCTAAAGAGGCCCCCGAGCGCCCCAAATGAGGCAACACCGGGCGTCGCGATCTTAGAGTCGGCGTGGGGGAAATCGGTCTCCACATCGAGCCGCATATCCGATGCGTCGGCGATGCTGCGCGATCCTCCGACCCCATCTACTCGGACCCCATCTGGGAGGCCTAGAGATCTGTACGTGATGCCAGGAGTCTGGGTTCGCGTCGCCCCTCCTGCTCGGGGCCCCAAAACCGTGCGGTGACGGACAGCGTGGGGACCTCGGAGTCCCCAGCGACCCCACCGCGCGGTCCGTAACCACACGGTTTTGGGACCCTGGAGGCGCCAGTCGTCCGAGACACCCTCGGAGAAGCACCTTCTTCAAGTTGGCCATGTCAGAGAGCATCCTGTAGTCCTGGGCAGGGGGCCGTGAAGAGACACCTTCTCTGCCTTGCTGCATCCGGCGCATCATTGTTCCCCGTGTGTGGAAGAAACAGGGAGAGAGAGAGAGAGAGAGGGAGAGAGAAAGACAGAGAGAGATAGAGAGAGAGAGAAGAGGGAGGGAGGGAGAGAGGGATGGAGGGAGAGAGGGGAGGGAGAGGGAGCGAGACACGCAACACTTTCTCTGCGCATCCCCGTGCATGGCAGGGTCTGCCACCCCGGGCTGCCTGTCCCCCGTCATGCGTGGTCCCCAGTTTGCGCGCCTGCTGCCGGCCGTGCCCGCGCACGCCTCGTGGCTAGACAGTGTCCACGTCCTGCGGCCCTGTCACGAGGGATCTGGAATCCTGCGCAGTCCCTGCGAGCTTCCTCGACCAACCGACCCTCCTCGCCCTCAGGCTCCTCCATGCCTCCTCCTCCTCCTCCTCCTCCTCCTCCTCCTCCTCCTCCACTGCATGGTCCTTGTCTTCTCCTTATCTTGCACAATCGTGCCCCCTCCTCCTCCTCGCCCTCCTCTTGCAAGGTGCAGTCCTCAGCCTTGACAATGAGCGCCTTGCCAACGGGACGGGGATGCGGAGCGATATGCTAGGAAGAGGAGGACGAGGACGACCAGGATAAAGAACAATGAGGATGAGTGGAGGACCAAGAGACCAAGACTGAGGAAGCACAGGGAAGGGGAGGAGGACGGCGTGGAGCGGGAGAGGGATGAAGAGGAGACAACTCCGAGCCCTGGACGGGCCTGACCAGGGACGTGTGTGGGGAGGCGCGGAAGGCACTTGACGTAGACTGGAAAACCTCGAAACGGCGTGAACAGAAACTTGTGTTGTGAAACGGGCGCGCAGATTTCTTGGGCCGGCGCTTGGCGCCGCCCCCGTCGCGCGGAGCGCGCTTGGGGCGGCGCCCGGCGAATATCCAGCCCGCAAGCATCTCTGGAATTTCATGTCTATGCCATTCGAGGGTGGCTCCGCATGACATGGGCAGCGGTGGCCTTGACCAGATTTGCGCTGTCCGCCATCTCCGCCGTGAGCTTCAGCCTTACCGAGTTGTACTCCTCCACCTCGGGGCGGACACGAGCGAGAGGGGGGGGCAAGGGGTACGCACGAACGTGGCCTGCTTTGTTCCTCACCATCCTGCCATGATTTTTTGTTTTGAATACATCGTTGCCGTCGCGACCTCCTCCTTCTCATCCCGCCTGCCTGTTCCTCTCTTCCTTCCTCCTCTCCCCTTCTGCCTGCCTCCTCCCGCCGGCCTCACCGTTCTACCTGGTGGCTCGCGGAACGGCTGCGAACCGCGAAGCTGTCGTCGCTTTTGAAAGGCTGGGTGCAGAAGGGTGACGTTAACACGCGCTTTTAGAGTCAACCTCGCAATTCGTGCTGTGCGGCGAACTGCTAAAGTGTCGCCACGTTTGATGGCCGCTGGGGGGTCCAGCGGAGCGACGTAATGTGCGGATTCAGATTCGACCTCGCCGTCCCCAGGGGGCTGCAATCTGGGGAACCGTCGTCACTTTCGAGGGCTGCCGGGGGTCCAGCGGAGTGGCGTCACACGCGGATTCGGCCAGACCTCGCCATCCCCGGGGGGCCTGCGAACTGACACACGTTGGCCACCTGCGAGGGCTGCGAGGGGGGCAACGAAGGTCCGTCATGGCGGATTCAGGTTCGACCCCGCCATGTCCGCTGGGGCGCGAACTGCAAACATGTCGCCACGTTCGAAGGACGCCAGAAGGGGTCCAGCGGAGTGATGTCCTATGCAGATGCAGATTCGATCTCGCAAATGCTTGTGGGGGCCGCGACCTGCAACATTGTTGCCACGTTCGAGAAGTGCTGGGGGGTCCATCGGGGTGACGTCATATTCGGGTTCGGACTGAACGTCGCCACCCGTGGAAGGGTGCGAGTTGGGAAGCTGCCGCTGGTCTCGAAGGCTGCTGGCGTCATATGCGGGTTGGTACTCGTCCTCGCCATATGTGCTGGGATGCGCACTGCGAAAGTGTGCCAACAGGTCGCAATTTTCGAAGGTTGCTGGAGGCCCAGCCGAGCGACGTCAGACGTACGCAGATTCAGGCTCGACCTCGCCATTCCAGGGGGGACTGCGGCCTGCGAAGCTCGTGCCTCTGTCGAGGGCTGCTGGGAGGTTCAGCAGAAACACGTCATACGCGGATGCAAACTAGACCTCGCGAGTAGGAAACGGTCACCGCTGCGATCTGCGAAACGGCAACCAGTGTCGACGGCCGCTGGGGGGTCCAGCGGGATGGCGTCACACGCAGATTCAAACTAAGACATCGTCATCTCTTAGGGGGCCGCAACCTGCGAACGTGTCGCCCCTTTCGAAGGCAGCTGGGGTGCCCAGCGGGATGACGACATACGCATATCAAGACTAAGCCTCGCCATCCCTTGGAGTCTGCGCACCGCGAAGTTGCCGCAACGTTCGAAGACTGCTGGGGGATCCAGCGGAGTGTCGTCTTACGCGGACGATGGTTAAGCTTAATTTCTTGTTCACGAGGGTCTTACGAAGACCTGGCGGCGCGCTTGCGGGCGGTTAGCCCCCGCGCGGCTAGGTGAAGGGACGAAGCGGGGAATATGGCGGGCGAGCTCGGCCTCGCTCGCTTCTTGCACCAACTGTGAACACTTGGTCCTTTGAAGCGCCACAGCGGCATGGTGCGGGCCGTGCTGTTTGTCCACCGTGCCACTGGGAAGTGATCGCAACTCCCCTCCCTCATCCCAACTCTTGCGTTGTCGTCCTATTCCTCCTTCCACCGTCTCAATGCTGCTGTCGCGTTGACTTTTCAGCCTCTCTTCCGTCGTTTTCCTGCCCCCCGTTCCCACACCCATTTCCTGCTCGATCCTGGGGTGTTACTCACCGTCCTTCCGCTGCTGTCCTGCGACTCGTGTAGCGCGCGCTAACCATACGCCTTGCACCACGAACGACGGATCCAGTGGTGTCATCAGCCGTACTATTCTAGACCAGCTCCTGCTGCCACTGAGTGTAGATGGATTGGGTACGTCGCAAGGAAATTTCGGCTACACGCAAAGAGTGATCCTGGGTAAGAGTGACCTTTGGTGCGCGGCTTGCTGGAGGCCGCGGGGGGCCAAGCACGAGTGCGCAAGACGCCACTGCCGCCTCGCGCTAGGCGATCGGGGGACCCCTCTGGGCCCACACCGAAGGCCATCCTGGCAAACGGTCGCCCCTACGCCTGGACGATCACTGGACCCCTGTGGGCGGTGGACCTCGTCCGCATCCACAGCCGCGCGGTCGGGGCTCCGAGGCCGTGGTCGCACACGCGCGGGGCGGTCCTGCGCCCATCTGCCCCGCGCGGACCGCACCCACGGGATCGCGTACGTACCCATCTGATCGCGCTCTGGAGTCCAGCCCGCGATGGCACGGACATGGCCGCGGCATCGAGGCCACCACTTCGCGGGCCTCGATCTTCGCCCCCACACCCCCCTCCCTCCCTCTCGAAGACGAACAAACTACATGAACATAAGCTGTTGGCGCAAATTTCTTGGATCCGCGCTGGGCCCCCCCGGGCGGCGCCTCCGGCGCCGCCCCTGGCGCGCCCCACGCGACACGGAGGGGTTTCCAGTGCAGACCCAAGAAATCCGCTCGGAGCGCCAACAGTTACTGTTTTATGCAGTTTTGTTTTCTTCTAGTGGTCCCCCCCTCGGCAAAGAAACATCTGAGCCCGACTCGGCACTCACTTCGATTTTCGCGAAGACGGCGCTCGAGCGTCTTTTCTGCAGCACTGCTTTGGCAAAACGTAGCCACCCCTTCCCTGCACCGCTTCTTCTCCGTGGGCGCGCCACCCCACCCTGCCACTCCCCCCCCCCCGCCCCCGCAACGGGTGCCAGCCCGAGCGCGGTGGCGGATCCACGCGGCTGCGGACACATGATGGCGTGCTCCTCGGAAGTGGCCCTGGAGTGGCTCGAAAAAGGGATCCCAGTCTGGCGCAACTGCAATGTGAGAGCCGCCAATTGTCCGCATCCCTGTTGCAGTTGGCCCGACGCTTTTGGCATCTCGCTGCATGAAAGGTCGAAGCAGCACTGCCAAACCAGGAGCCTTTCTTCGGCGTCGAGCCTGGGGGTGACGTGAAAAGGAGAAGACCTTCTCAGAAGGTTCGGGAGCCCCCCGGCCTCCCGGGAAGTTTTCTGATCTTCCCGCGAAGACGCAGAACGCTTCTCAGCAGGCGCGAGGGCCTCAGAAAAGGCCAGCCGCCTTCTGCGAAGGCCTTCTCCTCCCCCCCCACCTCGCTCGCCGCCGACTTCTCCTGGGAGGCGACGGCCCCCCCCACCCCACCCCCGCGGCCCTCGTCGTCCTCCCCCTGAGGCACCGCCTGTAACCCATGGATTCCCTCGGAGGCCCTGGAGGTCCCAGGAGGCCTTTGCAGGCTCCAGGAGGCCCCAGCACGCTGCGGTAAGACAGATCGTGCGGTGGCCTCGACACCTCGCAAGACCTCACCGCACGATCTGCCTGACTCACTGAACGACCAGCCATGCACCAAACGGGGCGTGGGCATGGACGCTGGCATAGAGAAGAACTCAGGCCTTGGCGACACGCCGTGCCACTGCCGTCGGCTCCCAATGAAACGCTGTGCTTGTGCGCTGTGGGGCCACGGGCACCGCAAGCGGGAACGGCGCGCAAGTGGGTCACACTGGGACGACCAAGAGGAGGAGAAGGAGGAGGAGGAGGAGGAGGAGGCGGAGGCGGAAAAGAGCGAGGACGGCTCTGGGACCCTGGAGGCCCCAGTCGCCCGAGACACCGCGACGTCCTCGGAGAGGACGGCCCACGTCCCGAGGCTGGGGCGCACCGCATCCCCACCCGACTCACCACGCACGGTGCACACACGGGCGGCGCAGAAGCGCGCCGGGGGCCCCATACCGTTCGGTGACCGCGCTCACGGACGAGCCCCAAATCGACTCGATAGGTCGGATCGGCAATCGGAGCGAATCGGATCGGCGGGAATCGGCAGCCGAGTCGCGTCGGCGGGAGTCGACAAGCCGGATCGACGATCGAAGCGAATCGGATCATCGGGAATCGGCAGCCGAGACGGGAGGAGTCGCATGGGCGGAAATCGGCAGGCTAGTAATTAGGCCTCTGCTGCTGAAAATCGGGGCCCAAATCGGAAGCCGAAACCGAATCGACTCGGAACCAGAAGCCATAGTACGCGAACTGAATCGAATCGAAGGAGTAGCATTTGGAGTACCATGTGGGACGTGCTCTAGAACAAGAACGTACCGTCGACTGATCTACCCTTTCTCCGACCTTGCACCGCGCCGCATGCAACGGCCACGCTGCCCATAGACGCATCCACCCCGAAAACGTCGATGGAAGTTACGGCACCCAATGTGTGCATAGACGATTTGGGCTCGGACGTGAGAGCGGTATTTGGCATCGGCCCCCAATCTTGGTCTTCTTTCGGGGGCGCGCAAACATGGACTAGCGATCCATGGATTTCGCGCGCGGTCGCCAAATCCATGGATCGGGTGAGGTTCCCTCCCCTAAATGCGGCCGGTGCCGCCTCGCTCAGCGGCGGAAGCCCGCGATTTCCCATGGAGACGGGACCCGTCGCTGATCCGCGCCCCCTTGATCCATGTGTCCATAGACGATTTGGGCTAGGACGGGAGAACTGGGGAAACCAAAAGGTACCGATACCATTACTCCCGGGACCTCTCCCCGGGTGCGTTCTGACCCGGGTTTCGAAGCGAGTGCAGCGGTGGCGACAAGGGCCTCGCAGGAGGCCCACAGAGGAGGAAACCGAGGGAAGGGTAGAGGCATGGGTACCTCCTCCCCCTCTGAAGCACGGTATCTGGCATCGGCCCCCATTTTTCGCCTTCTAGAAGCAGGTCGGGTTGGCCCTCCAGAGCGAGCTGAGCCCTGCGCGCCCGCGCGGTGACCACACCGGCGTGTCGGGCCGGGCGAAAGGGGGGGATATAGCAAAGAGGGGGGTTTTGAGCATCAGCTCACGTAGCTGATTTTCCCGCCGCCTCCCGGCGCCGGGGGCGGCCATGTCTCGAGGAGAGGGCCCCCTCGGTGGGGCCGAAACCGGCTGCAGGCAGCAGGCTTCGTAGCCCCCCCTTTCCCAATCCCCCCCTTTCGCCCAGCCCGATGCAGGAGCGGCGGCGGGAGGCCAAAAGGCAGAGGGAGGTTTCGTACCCCCCCTTTCCCAATCCCCCCCCTGCCGTTCGGCCCGAGCGTGGGGCCCCGAGCCGGTGGCCGGGAGGCGCGCGCTGCGGGATCGTCGGCGGCCACCGCGCGCCGCCGCGCGCAACAAGCGCCGCGGGGGTCTCTGGGCGGGTGGCACCGGCCGCGCCTGCCGCCGCACCGCGAGATCCGACGCTGTGACTCTGGCCATCGCTCGGACGTCCATTCCCTGTGTTGCTTTTCCGTTTCGTGCGTGGTTTTTTCGGCAAATAATCAAGGATGCTCCTCGATGGTCCTCGCCGAAGAAAAAACGCACACGTCCGAGCGATGCCAGGGTCTCTGGACGCCCGAAATGGGTACGGAAAGAATGGGCACAATGCCCAACAACAGATGGTGTCCCAAACCAGCAGCGGCCGCTGTTGGGCAGGCGGCCTTCTGTCTCGAATGGACACGGGCCACGGCGGCGTGGACAGCGAGCCCTGTTCAAAATGAACAAGATCCGCTGTCGGGCATTGTACTCATTCTTGCCGTGCCAATTTCGTTCGTCTAGGAAGGAATCGCGGCCCCAAGAGGCCCCCAAGAGGCCCCAAGATGGCCCCAAGAGGCCCCAAGAGGCCCCCAGGAGGCCCCAAAGAGGATCCCGAACGGCCCACAGAGACCCCCCCGAGACACCCACGACGCCGAAAAGCCCCTCAGGACGACCCTCTACTCGCCTGGGCGTCGTTTCTGGACGGGCTGGTGGGGATTTTTTGTTTGTTTTTTTTGTTGTTTTACGGCCGCAGGCGGAAGCGCCAGCGGCGGGCAGTCACGGTCGGGCCGCGGCCGTGGCTAAATTCCCGAGCGCGCGCGGCGCGGCTCAGGCGGCGGGGCAGCAACCCAGGGTGTCTGAGGAGCCAGCGTCGTGCAATCCCAGGGAGTCTGAAAGGTCAGCGCCTGAGACAAACGTGCAAGCTGCATCCCAGGGCGTCTGCGAGGTCAACCCTGAGGCGAGCCGAGCGCAGCCAAAATGGCGCAGGGGGGATACGCGAAGCGTCTAGAATTTCGTTCGTCCAGGAAGGAATCGCGAAAAGCACGACTTGAGCCCCCGAGTAGACCCCATGGCCTCTGCTGCAGCTGCCGAGCAAGACCGGCTCTCTGCGGGGGTAGTGGGCGCCCGAGGCCGGGCGACGAGGCCTGGCGCGCACAGAACAGTGCAGCGCCTGGATCTCAGGGGCCCTCCCCCTCTGGCTCCATCCTCCTCGTCCCCCTCGTCCAGTTCCTGCTCCTCCTCCTCCTCCTCCTCTTCCTCCTCCTCCTCCTCCTCCTCCTCCTCTTCCTCCTCCTCTGCCAACTCACGCTTCCTTCCTCCTCCTCCAGCTCTTCCAGCTCATCCTTCTCCGGCTTCCCCCACCGCCTCGTCCAGCAGCGTCCTCCTCCAGCTCTGCCTCCTTCCGATCCCCTCGAGGGGAGGCCCGCCGGCCCAGACTTGCCCCCCTGTGCCAGCAGGCCACCCTCTGAAGCACGGACTTGAAGTTCTCCATCTCCTGCGGGAAGCTCGCCGTGGACTCCAGCTCCTGGCGTGGGGGGGGGCAGCCTCCCCTCTCGCCCAGAGCACCTCCACGAAAGTCGGCTGCGCCGAAGACGGGGGGGCATGAGCAGGGAAGGGTTATATAGCGCATCGTGGCCCGAGACGTGCGCTTGGACGAAAAGGGGGCGCATCTTGGAGATCTCGTGGCCCCCGCCATGACACCCACCCGCCCACCACGGATCCCCAGCCCCGCTCTTGTCGGGCGTTGGCAGAACTGGGTTTAGATGGATCTGGTTCAGAGATCCGTACTGGGGGACCGCCCCCCCCCCGTTCCACGGACCGGAACTGCCGCCACCCGAAAAACACGAGCTGTACGGCAGACCTATAGCTTGGTGATTCGGGTCCACTTCGGGGCTCTGGAGCCCTACTGCGAACCGGGTCCCCCCTCACCTGGGGTCCCAGAAAACTGAAAAACCAGAAAACTGGAAAACTGGCTATACGCCCCCTCTTGGACGCTCCAGAAAGCTGCCGCGCCTCCGACGCCGCCCCGGGCGGCTGCCCTCCGGACGCCCGTCCGGGAGAGCCCGCCTTGGCCCTTGCGAGAGAGGGGCTGCGCCCAACAAGTGTGTCAGCGTGCCGCCTCGCCCGGACGTCACCCGCCGACCAGCCCACCTTCTTCCCTGGCCTTCCAGGAGGGCTGAAAGAATAGCACCAGGACCTTGACGTCCCAACTCCTGTCGAGGTTTGAGGCAGTCCAGATAGATCTATAGGCCTGGAGTGTTATTTGTTAGCGCTCTGGAAGGTCAGGGATCTGAGCATTCTCTTAGAGTGGAGGGCTCAGGGTGAGATCCATATGGGCCTTTACACCGCGAGAACCAATCCACATTGTGATTCCCCTTTTGCTCCCCTTTTGCAGATCCAAGCATCGAAAACCCATCGAAGCTGCACTTCAGATTTCACCATTCGCCCTCCACGCACAGAAAATGCTCGGTTTTTCCTCCGCCCTCCCCCGCATTCCCCCGCTCCCGCCCTCCGCCGTCCCTGCGACGCCCCCTTTCGAATCCCATCCCCCCACCCGTCCCGACAGGCCCTCTCCTGGAAGACTCTTCGGCCGCTCGGGCGGGGTGGTAAATGGGGGTGACCAAAGTGGGGGGTGAAGAAACGGGCCTAGGGCCCCTTTCTTCACCCCCCAAGTACGCGTCGTTCAATTCTAATCGTGCTCGTTTCTAAGTGTGCTCGTTTCTAATCGTTCCTGGCCCCCCAGTGGCCACGCAGAGGCCCAGGATAAAACAATTAGCAATGCAAGAATCTTGGCCCCCCACAAAATCAAAGACTTTTCGAATAACTAGAAATGAGCAGTGTGTAGGTCACACCCAATTGCCACCCGCCCGACTCCCGGCAGACTTTGGCCGCGGCGGCCCAGTCCGGCCTCAACTCTCTCTCTCTCTCTCTCTCTCTCTCTCCGCACGCAACACCCGCATTGCACGCCCTGCCTCGCGCCACCGCAACGTCCGTCCGCGCACGGCGCGCGTCCCTCCGGCGCTGCCGCGTGCACCGAGCCCATGCGCTGGGGGGAGGAGGTCTTGGATGGGGGGAGGGGGGATGATGATGATGATGATGCTGATGATGATGATGATGATGATGATGATGATGATGATGATGATGATGATGCTGATGATGATGATGATGATGATGATGATGATGATGATGATGATGATGATGATGATGATGATGATGATGATGATGATGGTGATGATCATACCTCCTTTGTGGCTGCATGTCTGCTCCCGAACGCGTTCTGGTCGTGAGCGCCAGGATCTATTATTCCTCGACGTGAGGGCCAAAGAGAAAGTGCATGTCCTGATGCTGAAACAAACTTGAAGTCAGCTACAGAAAACGGACGATCGGATCGGATCGGGGCTCCTCACGCCCTAAGATGCGTGGCTGGCGGCTGTAGGAGGAGAAATAGCAGTGGGATAATCGGAAGGATGCAAGGCAATATTGGGATGAGGAGGAGGAGGAGGAGGAGGAGGAGGAGGAGGAGGAGTAGGAGAAGGAGGAGGAGGAGGAGGAGGAGGAGGAGGAGGAAGGAATAGGAGGAGAGGAGGAGGAGGGAGGAGAGGAGGAGGAGGAGGAGGAGGAGAGGGAAGGAGGAGGAGGAGGAGAAGGAGGAGGAGGAGGAGGAGGAGGAGGAGGTGGAGGGGGGGCTCAGGATGAGATTGGTGCGGAGAGGGGAGAGGAAGGAGGAGCAAAGGGTGGGCAGGAGAGAAGGCGGGAAGGAAAAAAATGTATAGCAGGGAGAAAGGACAGGAAGAAGGAGAGGGAGGAGGAAGAAAAGGAGGAGGAGGAGGAGGAGGAGGAGGAGGAGGAGAAGGAGAAGGAGGCAGAATGGGATTGAGGGAAGGAGATCTCTTGCCTCTCCCTCTCCCTCTCTCCCCCGGAGAATCTCCGATGACCTGACGCTCGTGCGACGCTGGCCCCCCTTGGAAGCTCTCCGACGCCTCCCCCAGGGGCTGCCTCCTGCATCCGGAGCCGGCCCCAGGGCCTGGGTCTTTCGACGACCAGTGCAGCGAGAAAACAATTAAGTCGGGCCCGTCCCCGTACAGGCCAGTTTTCGACGAACAATTATCAATAGTAAACAAATACCCGAAACTACTCAAAACTGGTCAACAAGTCGTCCCAAGACTATTTTTTAAACTATCTTTGAATACTCCTCCTGTAGAGGGACAAGCCCGACTTAATGCTGGCGACGAAAAGACACGGGTCTTACGCGAGGTGACGCAGTCAGCGACCGTACACCGCGGCTCACGCGGCCGCGGCCGCGGCACGCCACACTGGTGGAGAGGAGGGATGCGTACACCACCGACCCTGCGCGGGACGCTTGCGCGCCAGTGTCGCCGCAGTGGACCCCGAATTTTGAGGCCTCCTAGGAAGGGTCGGAGTAGATGGGGTCGGAGGATCGCGCCGTATGGCCAATACATCGGCGATGTATCGGCGATGCCTCGGCGACGTCGGCGACACATCGGCGACGTCCGCGAGGAGAACATCATGCTCCCCATCGAGCCTCATCGGCGGTGCATCGGCGATGCGGCGCGATCCCCCGACCTCCTCTACTCCGACCCCATCCAGGAGGCCTAGGGTTTTTCTGCGTCGCTCATGTGGCACGGTTTTCGGGCGTTGGCAGAACTGGGTTTAGTGTGACCTGGTTTGGTGATGTGCACTGGGGGACGCCCCCCCGCCCCATGACACTGACCAGAACTGCCGACTCCCGAAAAGCACCCGCTGCGGCAGACCTGGTTCTGGTGATCCCAATCCATGTCTTGGGCTTCGGGGCCCAATCACTAACCGGCTCCCCTTCACCGGGGTCCTGGCTATACCCGAGGTCTGCGAGACTCGCCAGAGCAGCTCGGGGAGGTTCGGGCCGGGCGAAAGGGGAGGATAGCACAGGGGGGGGTTGAGAACCAGCTCGCGTAGTTGATTTTCCTGGCGCCTCCCGGCGCCGGAGACGGCTATGTATCGAGGAATGGGCCCCCTCGGTGGGGCCGAAACCAGCTGCATGCAGCAAATTTCGTACCCCTCCCTTTTCCCAATCCCCCCCTTTCGCCCGGCCCGAGAGGTTCAAGGCTCGGCGCCCACAACCTCAAACAAAGAGCATGATACTCGGATTCGGGGGACTCGGGCTGGCCTGACGGGGCCATCCGGAAAGCCACGAGACCCAGTCCGAAATCTGACGCGAAGTCCAGCTGCAAACATTCACGAGCACTGGACCGTCAAATCATCCAGGAATGGCCAGTCGAAAAGCGTCGGAAAACCCGAGAACTGGTGAACTCGAGCCATATGCTTTCCTGAACCCAGACCCCCGAAGTCATGATTTCTTCACTACGTCGACCCCTGAAGTCCTGGCCCGTTCCCCAGGACCTGTTTCTCATCCTGAGTCGTTTTTTGGCGGTCCCGAGGCCCGGCAGGGGTTCCCGGACGCCGACAGACAACAGCGAAACACCTCCCTTTGTGTTTTTTTCATGACGCGAGGGGGGTCTGGGAAATCTCCAGGGGGCCTCCGCGCTTCTTCCGGACGACCCAACAGGTCGGGGAGGGCCGCAAGAGGGCCCCAGGCCCCGATGCAGTGGAGGCCAGCCCACAGGACACCTTCCACAAGACACCCAATGCCGAGACCCCAGGACGTCTGTGGACGTTTGGTTCGGGAACGTCACGCCTTCCACAGCGGAACCATCGAAGCCCAAGAAATTCAGGGCACCCTTCGGGGGCGCGCAAACATGGATCGGGGCAGGCGCCCTTCCCGAAATGCAGCCGGTGCCGCCTCGCACGGCGGCGGAAATCCGCAATTTCCCGTGGAGACGGGACCCGTCGCTGATCCACGCCCCCTTGATCGGTCCATGTGTCCACAGACGATTTGGGCTGGGACGGGAGCACTGAGGAAACCGAAAGGTACGGATGCCGCTACTCCCCGGACCTCTCCCGGGGCGCGTTCTGACCAGGACTTCGAAGCGAATCCAGCGGTGGCGACGCGGGCCTCGCAGGAGGCGCCTGAACCCCGGAGGCGAGCAGGGTGCTCCTTGGCATGGGCCTCCGCTGCAAGAGAGGGCGTCGGGCCCCAGCGGTGCCCGCGAGGGGCCCACGCCTCCAAGGAGGTCCATATAGGGCCCTGGGCCCCTCTCGCCCCGACCTTCCAGAGTGCTAAAAATTAGCACTCCAGACCTATAAACCTATCTGGACTGCCTCAAACCTCGACAGGAATTAGGACGTCGACGCCCTGGTGCTATTTCTTAGCCCTCCTGGAAGGTCAGGGTGGGGGGGGGGGCCTCCGGGCCGTCCTCAGGAGGGCTCTGGGCACACGGGAGGTCCCCCCGCGGATGCCGCAGACGCCAGAGCCAGAGGCCTCCAGGGGCCTCCAGAAGATCCACCCTCATCAAAATCACCCCGACATGCGAAGCCGTCAAGTAAACGCACCCGACGAAGGAAGCGAACAGGGCAGGGCTGTGTAGTAAACGCCCAGGGCCTCCAGTAAATGCCAGTTGTCGGGTCTGGGATGGCCTTCCTGCTTAATCGCAGACAGGATAGAAGCACACAAGATTTAAAATCTCGACGGATCCGCCCGGATTGTGGAGTCCTGCCGATCCTGCGACCTGACATGGCAGCAGAACCTGCAACGTCGCGAAGCATCACGGCCCAGCGCCGCGGACCCCTATCGTTCTGCGGCACTCCTCGAGCCAGTTCGATCCGTGATGGTCCTGGGGCCCGGATTGGGGGGAGACCGCCCGGTGTTTTAACAAAGCTGTAGCGCCCAAATGCTGCTGCTGATGGTGAGCGATTGCCCAGACATCCGGCGCCTCAATTCTTTCGAGACACGGGCCCCCGACTTCTGGACCACTCCTCTGGGACTAGGTTTTCATCCTGAATCGTTGTTTGACGGTCCCGATGCCCAGTCAGTCCCCCGAGAGGCCGAAACATGTGAACAACAATACGTCTAGATTTTTTCGAGACGCCAGATGTCTGGGTACGATTCGGGGCCGGGGGGCGTCCAAGAAGCGGGGCGCAGATCATGGCTTGCGGCATCTGCGCGGCCCAGGGGGGAGGGGATGGGGACGCATTGAATTATGAAGAGGCGCCTTGAGGTCAAGGGAGATCTCATGCGCCCAGCCATGATTCCCCCCCCCGGTCATCTGGGGAAACCACAAACGGTACCCATACCGCTCCTCCCTGGACCTCTCTCGGGGTGCGTTCTGACAAGGCTTTCGAGGCGAACCCGGCAGTGGCGACGAGGGCCTCCCGGGAAGCCAAACACAAGGAAAAACGGGGCCCGGGTAGCAGTATGGGTACACGTCGTTCATTTCTAATTGTGCTCGTTTCTACTTGTGCTCGTTTCTAATTGTTCCTGGCCCCCCAGTGGCCAGGAAGAGGCCCAGGACAGAACAATGAGAAATGAGAGGATCTTGGCCCCCAAAAATCCAAGAACCCTCAAATAATTAATTAGAAGCGAACAGTGTGTACCCTGACTTTCCAGGAGGGCAAAAAAATAGCACCAGGACGTCGACGTCCTAATGTTTGTCGAGGTTTGAGGCAGTCCAGATAGGTTTATAGGTCTGGAGTTCTAATGTTTGGCACTCTGGAAGGTCGGGGTACGTGCTCCTCCTCTGGTCATCACCCCCGTCTTGGCCGCCCCCGAACGATCATGCTGAAGATATGCCGGCGGCGGGAGCGCCGGGGCGGCGCCTGGACCTGCAGGTAGGCGCACAGGTCCTGCGCTCGCGCGGCGCGGGGCTCCCCCTCCCCCCAGGTGGGACTATTCTGTGCTCCATGTTTTCCCGTTCTGAGAGCCCTCTAGCAAGACGCCATTCTGGCATAGTGCCGACACCACTGCAGCAAGACCTATACCGCTGCTCCCTGGACCTTTCCCTGGGGTGCCTCTCGACCCGAACTTCGCGGAGAACCCTCTGGCGAGACGCTGTTCTGGAACAGCGCCGACATCGCCGAAGCAGGACCTAGATGCCGCTGCTCCCTGGACCTCTCCCTGGGGTGCCTCTCGACCCGACCTCCGAGGAGGATCCCACCGCGGCGACGAGGCCCCTCCAAGACCTCTCCTTGGGGTGCCCCTCGACCCGCACTTCGAGGAGCATCCAGCCGCGGCGACGAGGCCCCTCCAAAAGACAAGCGGCCCCACGGGGCCCGAGGGAGGCCCCGCCCCGCGACCTCGCGCGAGGCCCGCGGCCCGGCTGGGGGGGGGGCTGGCCGCAGGCCCTCCACGATCCCGGGCCCGCCTCCTCCTCGAGACCTCCTCCTCCTCCTCCTCCTCCTCCTCCTCCTCCTCCTCCTCCTCCTCCTCCTCCTCCTCCTCCTATCCCTCCTCCTCCTCCTTGTCCTCCTCCTCCTCCTCCTCCTCAGCCACATCCCGCCCGACTCCAGAGAGAGAGAGAGAGAAAGAGAGAGAGAGAGAGCAGCAGCAGCAGCAGCGCGGTCAGACAACGCGTCGGGGTCTTCGGCCGCGGCCGCCGCCCAGGAGCTGCGAGCATCTGCGGCCTGGTGACCCAGACGTGCGACGCCCTGATATCTTCGGGACGGCGCCCCCGGAAGTCCCGACCCCTTCCCCGGGGCCGGTTTTTCATCCCGAGTCCTTTTCTTGACGGTCCCGAGGCCCGGCGAAGGCCTCCAGAGCCCGAAAACGGCGAAAAACCTCTGCCCTGATTTTTTTACGACGCGAGCACGTCTGGGAAAGCACAGCGCGCAGCGCTGGAGGAGCACACTCCGCTGAACACCAGTGCGGCCCCGCCCCCGCCTGGCGGGGGGACCAGGGGGGGACCGCGAGCAGCGAGCCGAGGGGGCGAGGAGGGGCCGAGGGAGGGAGGAAGGAGGGAGAAGGGAGGAGGAGGAGGAGGAGGAGGAGGAGAGGAGGAGAGGAGGAGGAGGGGAGGAGGAGGAGGAGGAGGAGGAGGAGGAGAGGAGGAGGAGGAGGAGGAGAGGAGAGAGGAGGAGGAGGAGGAGGAGGAGGATGAGGAGGGGAGGAGGGGAGGAGGAGGAGGAGGAGGAAGGAGGAGGAGGAGGAGGAGAGGAGGAGAAGGGAGGTGAGGAGGAGGGGGAGGAAGGAGGAGGTGGGAGGAGGGCTGGGGAGGGGAGGGGGCTACGGACACCTCCAATATCAGCATGGCTGGGGCTATGAAGTCATCGTGTGACGAAACAGCAGCGTGGGAGGGGGCACGGGCACCATCCTCGCTGGAGTGGCAAATGCTGGCCCTCATGCTCCTCCTCCTCCCTCTCTTTCTTCCTCTCGCCTCATCCCTCTCCCTCCGCCCCTTCCTCCTCCTCCTCCTCCTCCTCCTCCTCCTCCTCCGAATGACTCCTCCGTTTTCTCCTGCTCCTCCTTCTCCTCCTCCCCCCATTCCTTGGCCCTCCCTCACCCCCCCGGAGAGCAAAGAGGCACGTAGAGGAGGAGGGGATGGGAAGGACGAGCAGAGGCAGGACGAGCACGGGGCCGCGTCCTGCACCATCTCCCCCACCACCTCGAGGTCGTCCGACCCGATCGTGATCTGGCGGCGCGGCGAGCCGCATACATCGTGACACCAGAACGAGCGCGCTGCAAGGGCTTCTTTTTTTCTCCGGCCACGGTCAGCCGCGGCCACGCATAGGACCCCCCGACCTGGACCCACGCGTCGTTCACTTCCAGTCGGGCTCGTTTCTAACTGTGCTCGATTCTTGTTGTTCCTGGGCCCCCCAGTGGCCAGGCAGAGGCCCGGGACAGGACAGTTAGAAATGAGAGGATCTTGGCCCCCCCAAACAAAAACCAAAGAGATCCCGAAGAATTAGAAGTGAGCAATGTGTATGGACGGGGGGGGTGCGCGGGGAGGGTGGACGAACTCGGGGGGACGGCCTCGGAGGGGGCAGCGAGGGGCGAGGGGGGGAGGCGAGAGGGGGGAAGACGAGCGAGGCGCGGCTCGCGCTATATCTGGCATCCTACCCCTCCCACCCATCCCTTACCATTGCGCGGATGTTTTCTCTGTCCGCGGACGCGTCTCATGGACGACCTGGAGCTGCCAAAAAAACCAAGTCGTACGATTCAACAGGGGGAGCTGCGCACAGAGGAGGCACAGGAGGAGGAGGAGGAGGAGAAGGCGGATGAGAAGGAGGAGAGGGAGGTCGCGGATGAGCACGAGGAAAAGGAAGATGAATAGGGAGGAGGACGAGGACAAACAGCAGCAGCAAGAACTGGAGTGGAAGAAGCGAGAGGAGCAAGAGGACCAGGGGAAGGCGGAGGGGAAACGAGGGGGGCGACAACGATCAGGCAGGACTCGGATCCAGGGAAGTGGCCCGCGCTGGGGCGAGATCGCCAGTCTGAACGACGAGAGAAAATCCCAGAACCTGGAATGAGGCCAACACTGCAGCGGGAACACCAGTTTGGAATGCCCGAAGACGTTCGCATGGGAGGAGCACACAATAAAAACACAACCAACAGCTCGGACCGATCCTGAGTGCAAAACAAGCGCTGCACGGAGGGGGAGCGCTGCTCTCAACCCGTCGCCGGGGGAGAGAAGAGAGTATCCGCCACCGTACGACCTTGGCGCTCAACCCGTGAGCCTCCGTCCTCACTCCTGAAGATTCTTGGCCGCCCGGACACCCAATTCGCAGATCTCATGATGCTTGCCGCGTGCGCCCCCCTGGCTCTGGGGCATGTTCTCGCAGGACCTGTTCGGGACCAGGAGGGCTCCCGAGACGCCACGAGAGGGCCCCGAGAGGCTCCCAAGACGGTGCAAGAGGGCCCCAAGTCGCCCGAACGAGCGCTCCAAGACGCCCGAGATGGCCTCAAGACGGCCCCAAGGACACCAGATGCGCCCCGAGAGGCCTCCTGGAGGCCTTCCAAGAGGGCCCAGTAGGCAAACATCATTGATTGTCCGCTGGTTTCTGAAGAATTAAGACGGCCTCAGAGGCCCCCAAGATCGCCCAAAGAGGCATACAAGAGGGCCCCAAAACGGCCCAAGAGGGCCCCAAGACGGCGCAAAAGGCCTCCAAGGTGGCCCGAGGGGCCCCCAATGTAGCTCCAAGAGGGGGCCAAGACGGCGGCCCCCAGAACCCCACGAGGCCCAAAAGATGCACCCAGGAGACACCAATAAGCCCCCAAGAGGCCCCAAGAGGCCCCCCGGAGGCCCCCAAAAAGCCCCCAGGAGGCCCCACAAAGGCCCCAAAGAGGCATCAAAGCTGCCTCCATGAGGCCCCCGAGAGGCCTCGACGTGATTCCGACGAACATCCAAGAGGGTTCAGACCCAGAACCCACGCACTGGCGGGATGGGCCGACGGCCATCAGATTGTCCGCCGCCCCTGTTGATTTATCACGAGGGTGTCGCGGAACACTTCCGCTCGGGCGTTGGCCCTGCGGCGGGCGGCGGGCTGGGGCGGCGCGGGGTCTTAAAACCCAGACCCATGAGATCCCTGCAGACCTACTGGGGCTCAGACCCGAGCGGTGAGCTCCAACAACAACGATCGGGCCATGGTGCGCTAAGGTTCAAATGGTTGGGGTTATTCTAGAACCTTCCCCTGCGCAGGTCCATTCCGCCGGCCACCTGGAACCACGCACAAGTTGCCCAGATGGTTGCCTTTCTCGCTCCTACATGGCCTAAGATGGACTCCAAGATGCCTCCAAGGCGGCCTCCAAGATGACCCCAACCCCCAGAGAGCCTAAGATGGCTCAAAGATGCACCCAAGACGGCCGAAGATACACCCAGGACGGCACACGATGGCCCAAGACGGCCCAAGAGGTTCCCCAGAGGCCTGCAAGATTGTCCGAAAGGCCTCCAACAGGTCCTCCAGAAATGCCCGAAGAAGCTCAAATCATTGATGCTCGTGAAACGTTTTAAAAGGTTTTCGCATTTTCTTTAAAACGGCCTTCCGACGGCCCAAGACGGCCCAAGAGGCCCCCAATATTGCCCCAAGATCGCCCAAGAGGCCTCCAAGATGGCCCGAGGACGGCCCCCTCCTCCATTTTTCCTCCCGCTCCTCATCCTCCTCTTCCTCGCCCGCATGGTCCGTCCAAGCTCTGGACCCAAACGTTTGGCCACAGAGACGCTTTTCAAAACGGCTGGGGGCGGCGGCGATTCGCCGTAGCCGGTTTCGATTCGTATTGTTTCGTTGTGGAGGGATAGGGGACGATGGCAAGCCCCCGAGGTGACGTCAGCGTCTGGCCAGCGCAGCGCGGAGGTCGGGATACCGCATGTCTGTCTCTGGGGCCCTTGCCCTGAGCAGGGCCTCCAGAGGAGGGATCGGGGACGATGAGGGCGAGATTAGGAGTAGGTATGGGGGGGGCAGGGAAGCGGGAGAGAGAGAGAGAGAGGAGGGAGTGTGGAAAGGGGCAGTGGGTGTGGGAGGGGGGTCAAACTAGCCGGCTCGAAGGCATGCACATGCCATGCACATTCCCACCCTCCCCACATTGCAGGAGCCAGTAACTATCGGCACACTTGGAAAGGGAGACTCGCGCCAGACCCAGCAGGAACGCAGCAGCGCAACCCCAACAACGACAGAAGCCCCTAGTCTAAGTCGGGCTTGTCTCCCTACAGGGGGATTTCAAAAAGTAAAAAAACAAAACAAAAAAAACACTAAACTATTCAAAAATGGTAAAAACAAATCGTCCCCAGACCATTTTTTAATTATTTTTGAATATTCCTCCTGTATAGGGACAGGCCCGACTTAACCCTAGTGCTGGCAGCAGCGAGCCGAGAGCGGCCTTCCACACGTGCGCGCCCGATGTGCGCCGCGCCCCGCTCCTGCATCGCGCCCTCCGCACCCACCCCGCGAGCGCGGCGTGGGGCAGCGCCGCGCTCCCGCCGCGCCCTGCGCACCGCGCCGGCACCAGCAAGGAATCGAGCCCGCGAGGAGCGCGCAGGCCCTGGCGCGCGACGTGCGGCTCGTCCCGAGCCCGCCGCGCAGCCTGCACTGCCGACGACGAGGCAAAGCCCGGCGCGCGAAGCGCGCCCCGTCCCGATTCTTGCCGCACGCTTCGCGTCGGCGCCAGAGCCTGCCGGCGCGCGAGAGGTGCGCGCCGCGGCCCCGCTACTGCCACGCGTGCGGCAGCGCCGGCGACCGAAGGTCCACGCTGAGGGGAAGACGTTTACCTTGTATTTCTCTAGGGGGCCACATGCGAACCCTACCCCTACCCCCCACGATTTCTGAGGGGGAGGGTGGGGTTCACTCCATTCGGGAGCTCCCGAGCGAAGTGAACCCCACCCTCCCCCTCAGAAATCGTGGGGGGTAGGGGTAGGGTTCGCATGTGGCCCCCTATTCTCCCCACCCACCACGCTGGGGCTGCTGGATTTGAAGAAAGGGACTGCCGACCCACCTCGCACACTCTGCGTACCGCGGCCGCCAGGCCTCCAGCGTGCCGGTGCTCTCTGTGTATCCCGCCTCGTGCCTTCGACGGATGACGACTGCATAAACGCATGCCCAGGATAATAAAGCATACCCCTCCTTGCCACGATCCTCAAGGCTATCCCTGGCCAGTGCAGTTTTGGTCAGCGGTGGGAAGCGGCGGGACCGAACATCATGATCGCTGAGGGCAGCATGCATCGTAGATCGAAACTTCTTGTCATGGTTCTCATCATCATCATCATCATCATCATCATCATCATCATCATCATCATCATCATCATCATCATCATCATCATCATCATCATCATCATCATCATCATCATTATCGTCATCGTCATTATCGTCATCATCCTCATCCTCATTCTCATCCTCATCCTCCTCCTCATCATCATCCTTATCGTCGTCATCATCGTTGTCATTCGCCGAGTCCACGAGGTGAGGGTGTCTCAGGCGAAACGCACTTTTATCATTTGTGTGAGGATGTCTCAAGCGAAACGCTCAATGTTTCGAGCTTCCCCTTCCGTCCTTCCGTCCCCGCAGCAAGTTTTGGAAGATTCGCTGAGTTCGCGACACGCAGCTTCCGAGGATGTCTCATGCAAAACGCTCGGTTTTGCAAAAAAAAACTGTCGCGAACGTGTTCACGCGATGCCTCAAGCGAAACGACCGATTGTTCGAGCCTTCCCCTCCCGCTCCTCCCTCCCAGCAGCCGTACGAGGCCCAGGCGGTCCTCGAGCCCGGAACGCTCGCTCTCCAAGAGCTTCCAAGAGGCGCGCGCAGGACCCCAGGCCAGGCGACGTGGCGAGCCCCTCGCGCGCCGAGCTCCCTGGGACCCAGAGAAGGGAGGCCCCCACCAGGAGGAGGAGAAAGAGGAGGAGGAGGAGGAGGAGGAGGAGGAGGAGGAAGAGGAGGAGGAGGAGGAGGGGGAGGAGGAGGAGGAGGAGGGGCCGTCTTGGGGGCCTCTTGGGGCCGTGTCTTGGGCCTCTTGGGCGATCTTTGGGGGCACTTGGGCCGTCTCGGGCCGCACCCCTCCGGGGAGGCCCCGCAAGAGAGAGAGAGAGAGAGAGCACGGCCTCGTTCTACCATGAGACCCTCTTGGCATCTGTACGCTTCGAAAAAACTCCGTTCGCTCCTCCTCCTCCTCCTCCCTTTCCTCCTCCTCCTCCCTTTCCTCCTCCTCCTCCCCCTCCTCCTCCTCCTCCTCCTCCTCCTCCTCCCCCTCCTCCTCCTTTCTGTTGCGACCTGCCAGGGACACTTCATCATCCCGCTGGAACCCCGAACTTTCTCATCCCCACGCTGCGATCATCGGGGGCGTAGGGCTATCGCGGCCGCCAGGCCCAACGTGTGCCAGCACTCTGTTTGGATTCCGCCCTGCGCTCTCGGATGGGAATCGCTCGAAGCAAAATAGAACGTCTCGCAAATAGGATTTGGCGTCTCGGATTGGCATGCACATTGGCAAGACGTCAGAAATAATGACTATGGAGAATGGACAGAGGAGGGACGGAAGGAGCAAGGGATGGGGAGGAGGTGGGGGAGGCAGAAAAAGAGACGAAATGAAGAGGAGGGGAGGAGGAGAGGATGATACGGAGGGGGGGGGGTGAGGGAGAGAGGGAAAGGGCAGGTGAGGAGGCGGCGACCGAGGTATTGCCCAGGAGTGGAAGGGATGGACGGGGTCGAGGCTGCATCTTGCAACATTACCTCGAGTACAGCCTCAAACAGAAGTGCTCTCTCGCAAGACAGAGATCAACAGCCAGATAAGATTGGAAGGAGAAAAAGCAGGATGGAGGAGGAGGAGGAGGAGGAGGAGGAGGAGCGAGCAAAAGGAGGAGCAGGAGCGTTTGTATGGTGGGTATACAGATGTGGAAGTGATCACCACGGCTTCAATCCTTCTTGCAGAATTCGTATACACGGCTCACGCAGCATGGCACCTGGAGAGCTTCAAAAGGGCCAAGACGGCCAAACGAATACTTACGACCCTACACGCTTGAGAAAGCAAGTGTCCACCGCACTTCGTCCGGTGGCACGCCTTTTGAAAAATCTGCCCCCCGTCCCGATGTTGGGTGACGAGGGAGGTCTGGTAATACACCTGATCCTTCTCTCCTGGACTCCGACATCCGCTCACAATCAAAGCCTGGACCCTTCCAGGCACTCGGGCTCCATCCTGGCCTGTGTCTCATCCTGGACCGCTTCAATGTGCTCTTGTTGACGATGCCGAAGCCCGAAACGGCTTCCCCCGAGGCCGACATTGTGGAAAGCGCCGAACAGCTGACACTGCCAATCTCGAGCATCATCCCGCCAGGACTGTCGCATAACGCTATCTGGACTTCGGCGTCTCCGCGATGGTGCGGTGATTACTGTGCGGTGACCTCGAAATCCCCAAAGACTTCACCGCACGGTCTGTCACTGCACGGTTTGAAGAAAGACCCTGGAAGCCACAGACGCCCGATACATCCTCGGAGAACCATCCACGTCCGAAAACCGCGCGGCCACCCAGACCTCCACTGACTCACTACACTCGACTGCACGCAAACGTGACCCTGGGTACGAGTGACCCCTGAAGGGCGGCTTCTTGGCGGCCGCGGGGATACCAACCACAAGACGGCAAAACGCTACAACCGCATCGCGCTCAACGATCGGGGGATCCCATTTCGAAAAAAAGAAAAATGCATCAACATAATATTTTGGCAGTTGACGCTGCAACCACAACAACGGCCGCCACGTGAGAAAGAGAGATATGTGGGGGTGCAGTAGTGATGGGTGGGAGGTGGGAGTAGGATAAAACAATGCCATACACACACACTTTTGGCGCTCCGCTCGGATTTCTCGGATCTGCGCTGGACCCCCCTCCCTGGCGCGCGGAGCGCGCCAGAGACGGCGCTGGAGGCGCCGCTTGGGGCCAACGACCCCCGCAGGACGCTGCCGGGACTCTCTTGCAGGAGGGCGCCTGCGCTGCATAGCCCGCGGCGGGAGCCTGGGCCCCCTGCGCGCGAACGTCGGTCACGGTAGCACCTCGACCACAAGAAATCCTCTGCAGCAACTCGCGGGAGCCTCCCCCTCCCATACCGTCCTGCTGGCTCTCGCGAACCCACGCAACTAGTCGACGCCAACTAATCGATGCCAAATCGCCGCTATGTTGGCGCCAATCGACGCTACCAGACGCTACATCGGCGCCATCCCATCGACTCCCACACGCTAATCGACGCTAAGGACGGAATTAAGAGGGCATACCAGGCTCCAACGAACCGATACCGAAAAAAAACCTTCCACAAGAAACCCAACCCTGGAACCCCAGGACGTCCCTTGATTTTTGGTGTGTGGTGAGTCACGCATTCCATAGCAGAACCAGCGAGACCCAAGAAACCCCGGGGCACCCTAAAAGGCAGGCCTGCTGCTTCTTGGCATGGGTTTCCGCTGGTACGCGCCGCAGTGACCCCAGGCAAGAGGCGGCAAGAACGACCTCCAGTGCGCGACTTTCGAGGTCCAACCAGCGCCAGGGTGATCCCCGGGCGCGGCCTCACCGACCCCTGGCAAACCATCCCCTTCCGTGACGTCACCCTCGCCTTTCAAACTTCCCTCCGGCCGCATATATGCGTCCTGGGGCGAGGCGACGGGGACGTCACAGAAGGGGATGGCTTGCTAGGGGTCGGTTAGGCCGCCCCTGAGACCCCTGTGGGCCCGCACCCGTGGCCAATCCCGCCAAGGGCCACTATGACGCGCAGCCGACAGACATCCGTGCACCCCGCAAATCCTGCCCGGGCCGATGCTGGGCCCGCGGGCGGGTGTGCAGTCGGACTTCCCTGGGCAGGACACGCGAGAGGGCACAAAAGCCCTTCCGAGGGCCACACTGACATAGGAATGCAGGAGACACGGTGTATATACCCAGACATGCGACGTCCTGATTTTTTCAGGACGGCGCCCCCGCAAGTCCCGACCCTTTCCCCGGGGCCGGTTTTTCATCCTGAGTCGTTTTTTGACGGTCCCGAGGCCCGGCGAAGGCCTCCAGAGCCCGAAAACGGCGAAAAACCTCCGTCCTGAATTTTTTACGACGCCAGCATGTCTGGGTACACGTCGCCTCCCCGCGGGTCTCCGACGGGGTGTCCTTCTCCAGCCGGTCGTGCTCCCCTTCCCGACCTTCGGCGCCTTTGGGCCCAGCCTCGGGCCCCGGGCCCCCGGGGACCACCAGAGACGCATCCTGGGGGGGAGGAGGGGGAGGAGGAGGAGGGTCGAGGAGGAGGAGGAGGAGGAGGTCGAGAGAGGGGGAGAGGAGGAGGAGGAGGAGGAGGAGGAGGGAGGAGGAGGAGGAGGAGAGAGGAGGAGGAGGAGGAAGTGTAAAGAGGATGGATGAGGGGAGGAGGAGGAGGAGAGGAGAGAGGAGGAGGAGGAGGAGGGACATCTGGGGCCCCGACGGAAAAAAAAACAACTCGTCGGATGCCTTGAGTCCCTGGCGACGCCGGCAGGGCGCATACGCCGAGCCTGGGCCCAGGGCGGGCCGGGCCGTCGTCGGCGAGATGGGCAGCTGACGCCCCCGCGATCCTCGATGGAGGCGGTGCACCCTCTTCCTCGTGCTTACCCGTCGTTCATTTCTAATCGTGCTCATTTCCAATTGTGTTCGTTTCTAACTGTTCCTGGCCCCCTAGTGGCCAGGAAGAGGCCCAGGATAGAACAATTAGAAATGAAAGGATCTTGGCCCGCCAAAAGTCAAAGACATTCGAAGACTTAGAAATGACCCATGTGTGCCCCTTCTGCTCCGCGTTTCTGGAGGACGCGGTGTCGGATGCGCCTGGGCGTTGCTGGAAGTCCACGGCCGCATCGCATCCTCCACGAGAAGTCAGGATGGACCCCAAAAGAGGTGTCCAGGGATCGATGCTGCTGGGATTGGGCACGTAGGCCTCCAAATGTATTGGAAAACATCGGCGCTTTCACTCCTCACTCCTCCTCCATCCTTTTTCCTTGTAAACAGCTCCTCCCCGTCGCACCCCGAGGCGTGTCGGCACGGCAGGGCGGGCATCCCGCCTGGGAAGTGGACGCAGTTTCACGGATGGAGGGCGGGCCGTTATCAGACAGGTGGCTCTCGCCTGAGCGCCGCGCACATTCTCTCCAACGCTTTGCAGGGGGTTCGCGGATGAAGGGCGGACCGTTTTTGACATCCGGTTCTCGCCCGAGCGCCGCGCACATTGCTTCTAAAAGTTTGCAGGAGCTTCACGGATGGAGGGCGGGCCGTTTTCAAAGTGTGGCTCACGCCCGCGCGCCGCGCACACTCGTTCCTGAGCATCTGCGAGAGCGTCACAGACGGAGGGCATGCCTTTTTCTCAAAAGGTGGCTTTCGCCCGAGCGCCGCGCACATGGCTCTCAAGCTTTGCAGAAGTCTCACGGATGGAGGGCGGGCCCTTTTGATAATGTGGCTCGCACTTGTTCGCCGCGCGCAGTCGCCGTAGGGAATTACAGCAGGTCCAGGGATTCTCATGGCTGACGCCCCAGAGATGGTGCTTTGGCACGATGTAGGGCTGCCATGGCGAAACAATTCTGGATCATCGGGGCGCGACAGTGACGTTGATTCGCGTTGCTGGAAGTCCCAAGAGTGATGCTCTCTCACGGTTCAGGACTTCCCTGAATGGAAGTGGATGAAAGTGAACCCTAGTAGGTACCTATGAAGAAGGAACTTGGAGGGATGGTTGATTACAACACCGTTGATGCGTCTTGGGTTTACACTGGTCCTCCTCCTCCTCCTCCGCCTCCTCCTCCTGTGGCACCGTTGATGAGCCTTGGGTTTACACTGTTCCTCCTCCTCCTCCTCGTTCTCCTCCTCCTCCTCTTCCTCCTCCTCCTCCTCCTCCTCCTCCTCCTCCTCCTCCTCCTCCTCCTCCTGTGTGGGCGGGGATCATCATTCCCCAAACTATCTACGGCCTCGCAATCCGACCTCCTCGGCCGCGACACCGTGGACACAGGGGGCGGCGCGCATGCCCCGCGCAGGACTTCTCGCATGACGCCGAACATCCGGAGTCCAACCCGCGAGAGCATGGATACGGACACGCTCGTCGCTCGTGGCTCCTGCTGCTTGGTGCTGGGGAGGGTCCAAACCGTTGCGGTGATGGACCGTGCTGCTACCTCCGGATCCCCCAGAAAGGCCGGTCGCCCCGAATCTTCGCTGACTCGCCACACGGTGTGGTCACCGCACCGTTCATGGGAGCCCCCGGACTGCTCCGTCTGGGATGCACAAAGACATGCTATTAGTACTGGATGCTCGCCTTGGAGGCGTGCGTCCGACCCAAACGTATAGCATACTTAACCATATTGTTAGTACACCGTTTCCCGAGCGGTGTAGCAAGAAAGCGCCAACCACGGCGCGCACACTGTGAGATTTCTCGGTGCGCGCGTCGCCCCTGGGGGGCGACGCACAGATATTAGTCGTATGCTGGGGTGGATCTGGGGGCCCCGCCGAGGGGGGGGCTCGTCCTCCCCCCTCCCCTCCTCCGCCTCCTCCCCTCCTCCTCTTCCTCCTCCTCCTCCTCCTCCTCCTCCTCTTCCTCCTCCTCCTCCTCCTCCTCCTCCTTCTCCTCCTCCTGCTCCTCCTCCTCCTCCTCCTCCTCCTCCTCCTCCTCCTCCCCCTCCTCCACCCGAGGGGCCCGGCCCGCAGCTCTGGAGCCGAAAGGGCGCCACCCCCGGCCTCGGGCTGGCCGCACGGCCGAGCGGAGGGTGCCGAGCGCGCACGCCGGGCGCGGTGCTGCGCGCGGTGCTTCGCGCGGTGGAGCGCCGATCCACGACATCCGCGCAGACCTCCGAACGTTCATCGAGTATTGTTTCACCGATCCCCATCCCCAGCGGCGTGTCCTGGGCCCCACTGGCCGAAGTACCCCCCTCGACGGGGACATAGGTCGTTCCCTTCGAGTTTCGAGGGGTATATACCCAACTGGGGTGGTAATTTGGTGGGGGTCTCGAAGGGGATGGGGATGGGGATGGGGACTGGCTAGACGATCGCGGCCTTCCGAGTGCGCAGGTCGCTCGATGCTGGGCAAGCTCCCGGCCTCTGGCGGCGCTCGGCGATCCACCTGGACCTCTAGCACCAGGGTCGCCGACGCGTTATTGCAGCGCGAACCGACCGAAGGATGGAGGAGGGCTGGGGAGACCCGGTGAGGTTCGACCAGCCTCGGCGCCGAGGGCGTGCGTGGCGCGTCAGTCGAAGAGGTCCGAGAAGTCTGGGGACCCAGATGCTGGTGTCGACTGCTTGGGGGCCTGTGTGGCTGCGGCCTCCTTAGCCTTAGCATCAGCCTTCCTCTTGGCCTCGGCCTCCTCGGCCTTCTTGTTGGCCTCGGCCGCCGCCTTCGCCTTCGCCTCCTCCTTCGCCTTGGCCTCGGCCTCCTCGGCCTTCTTGTTGGCCTCGGCCGCCGCCTTCGCCTTCGCCTCCTCCTTCGCCTTGGCCTCGGCCTCCTCGGCCTTCTTGGCCTCGGCCGCCTCCTTCGCCTTGGCCTCTGCCTGCGCCTTCTCCTCCGCTTTCCTCTTCTCCTCGGCCCTCTTCTTCTCCTCCGCCGCCCTGGTCTCCTCGGCCTTTCTCTTGGCTTCTGCCTCCGCCTTGGCCTTGGCCTCCGAGCTGTCCTTGGCATCCTTCTTCTCATCCGCCCTGGGCGCGGCGGGCGCCTCGGGGGCCCTGGCTTCTGGGGCCATGGTCTCAGGGGCCTTCAGCTCGGGGACCTTGATGTCAGGGAGCTTGAGGTCGAGGGCCTTGAGCTCGGGGACCTTGATGTCAGGGACCTTGAAGTCGGGGGCCTTGAAGTCTGGCACCTTGATGTCCGGAGCCTTGAAGCTGGGCATGGCGACGTCCTTCGGCACCGAGGGCATGGACACGCTGGGCATGGTGGGCAGGCCGTTCTGCCTCACGTAGCCCGAGCCGAGCGCCACGGCGAGGCCCAGGGTGCCGAGGTAGGAAAGGCCCTCGGTCAGGCCGAGGAGGCCCAGGGGCCCCGCGGGCAGGCCCTTGCCGCGGTCGACGAAGCTCCCCAGCGACCAGAGGGTGAGCCCAACGCAGGTCGCGCAGGCCACCAGCTCCAGGCCGTAGGCCCCGTACCCGAATGCCTCACCGTTGGTGATGACCAAGAAAGACTTGTCCGCCACCGCAAGTGCCGCGGTTGGTGCGTGTGTGTTTGTGTGCGTGTGTGCGTGTGCGTGTGCGTGTGCGTGTGTGCGCGTGAGCTGGCCCGGTGGGCGCGCTCGCTTGACTTGTTCTACGCCGCGCCGCCGTGCGCTTGGCCTCAAACCAAAAACGCGTTTGTGTGTGTATGTGTGAGTCTGTGACTGTGTGTGTGTGACTGTGTGTGGGTATGTTTGTGTATGTGTGTTTGTGTGTGCGTGTGCGTGCGTGTGTGCGCGCGTGTGTGCGATTCTGTGTGTGTGTCGGGCTGTCGCCCAGGGCATCGCCTTCCTCCCTCGGTCGTCGTGTCGTTGCCGTCGCTCCCCCCCTCCTCCCCCTCCAAGTCTCGGCTTCGTCCCGGCCCCCGGGCGTCGTCCCCTCCTCTGCCTCTCTCTCGCTTACTCTCTCTCTCTCTCTCTGCGTCTACCCTCTCGGGCCGTGAAACCTTGGCGTTGGCGCCATGTCTTGTGGGGGACCTGCCCTCGCCGGCTGGCACCGCCACCACCTACTCTCTCTCCTTTCCCGCCGCCGGGCACAACCCCTCAGCGGGTCCCTGGACAATAGCCTTCAACATATGTTTGTCGTTCCTGCTGGCCTTCCGTTTCTGGCCGCTTTCTCCACCCAGTTGGGACCGACCCGCCGCGAAGTGAATATGCATACATACATACATGCATGCATGCATACATACATAGACATATGCATATATGTGCATGTGCGTATATGTGTATCTGTGTGTGCGTGTGTGCGCGTGCGCGTGCGCGTGCGCGTGTGTGTGTGTGTGGCCCACGCCAATCCTTGCAACTTCTTTGCGCTCGCAGCCATCGTCGGGCTAGCCGGGGCCTCCTCTGATGCATCAGGCCAAGCAGGCGCTTGTTCATGCTGGCGACCACATCCCCACAGCCCTGCGTTGTGCGCCTCCCGTCCTTCCACACTTCACAAGCGAGGCACATCCCCTTGGTAGGACTCCCGTGGCATGGGCACCCTGCCCCCCGCCCCGCCCTCCCATCCGACCGTGCCGATGCTGGCACTGGTACTCCCTGGACCTCTCCCGAGCGCGAGGTGGCAGAGCCGCGCGGCAGCGCGACTGGATAGAGCGCAAACAGCACGTGGGGGGCCAGCCCCACTCCGAGCACCAGCGCGGAGAAGCCGCTCACCTCCCAGCGCGGGCGAAGCTTGACAGAACATATGGACTTTTCCGCCGTCAGGGCCGCCCGTCCCAAGGCGGCTGGAGAATGTTACACCCCCACCTGCCACCGGTGGGGTAGGAACTCAGCAGCCGCTCTGGGTCAGGCGTCCTCGACGGCGACAAGGTATCTGTTATCGGAGCGAGGCGGCCGAACTGTCTTGCAGCGTCCCTGGCAGGACTGAACCTAAAAGGTGTTTTTCGTTCCTGTTTTGTTTTCGGTTTCCCTCGTGTTGTCTTCAATCCGCCTTTACCGCAAAACGGCATCGAAACGAAAACGGCCCACGAAATCGCCAAAACACCGTTTAGGTCCAGCCCTGATCCCTGGGTGCGTGGCTGACATGTGATTCTGCGGCGCGGGTGCTGCTTGCCGCGTGGCGTTGCATTGCTGCCGTCGTCTTCGCCTGCGACCCGCCCGCGACCCGCTCTCGTCCGCAACTGCGGGGGGCCAGTGCCGTTCCCCGCCCCCGACACCTCCACTGCGACTCGCCCCCACAGACCCTGGCCCCCAGAGGCCTCGACTGGGGACTGGTGTTTAACAGGGGATATGTCGACCCCTATCCTTGCCGTCGCGGGGTTTTCGCATGGACCTCAAATTCGGGGCCGAACCCGGGGATGTACGATGGGGGGGGGCGTCCATTCTCCACAGGGGTGCATCCGACTAGCTACCCTGGAGGTATCCCAGGGTTCCCCTCCTTTTCTGAGCGGCGCCGGTTTCCGTCGAAAAGTCAGGGATTCTCGGGCCTGGCGAAAGGGGGGGATAGCAAAGGGGGGGGTTGAGAATCAGCTCACGTAGCTGATTTTCCCGGCGCCTCCCGGAGCCGGAGGCGGCCATGTATCGAGGAATGGGTCCCTCGGTGGCGCCGAAACCAGCTGCATGCAGCAGATTTCGTAACCCCCCCTTTCCCTATCCCCCCCCCGTCGTTCGGCCCGAGATTCGGGGAGGAACATCGACTGCGATGTTTCCCCCCGAGCTGTTTTTTGACAGGCCCCGGGGCCTGGCGAGGGCCCCCCTCCGAGGCCGAAGACAGAACCTATCAAGACTCCCGCCCCCGAGCCTGCCATGGCCCGGCGGGGTCCATGCTCTGCAGCCCCCTGTGGTTTTGGGGGGCAACGGTAGGGGGGTCCTCCTCCTCCTCCTCCTCCTCCTCCTCCTCCTCCTCCTCCTCCTCCCCCTCCCTTCCTTTTCCTCCTCCTCCTCCTCCTTCTCATCCTCCTCCTCCCCTCCTCCTCCTTCTCCTCTTCCTCTTCCTCTTCCTGCTCCTCCTCCTCCTCCCTCCTCCTCCTCCTCATCCGCCTCCTCCTCCTCCTCCCTCCTCCCCTTCTCCTCCTCCGCCTCCTCTTCCTCCTCCTCTTACCCTTCCTCCTCCTCTTCCTCCTCCTCCTCCTCCTCCTCCTCCTCCTCCTCCTCCTCCTCCCTCCTCCTCCTCCTCCGGGGGACTGGCACAGGCGGGGAAGCATCGGCCTGGAAGCGGCGGCACCTCGCCGAAGGATCGGCGTTGGGCCCCCGATGGCGAATCCGCGCACTCCTGGGCTGGGTGGGGCCACGAGACCCCTGTTAGCGATCCAATGGTCGATTGGGGTCGATGCATTATCCTAAGCCTGTCCCCTCCCCTACCTCGGCGGCGAGCGAGGGGTGGGGGTGAGAAGAAAGCCTTTCCAAAAGGCTCGGAAGTTCCCCACCCTTCTGAGAACTGTTCTGAAAGCACCCACCGAAGACGCATCTAAGCCTTCCCCCCAGAGGCGCAACGAAAACCTCTCAGAAGGCGCGAGGGCTTCGGAGATGTCCCGCCGGCCGCCTTCTGAGTGGGCCTTCTCCTTCTCACTCCCCCCTTCGCTAGCCGCCGAATGCAGTTTTCGAGTCATCACCTCGAGTATCCAGCGGCCAATCGGGACGATCTGGGCATCCCTGGAACGCTCTTGGCAAGGCGCAGCCGCTGGAACGCACACCGAAGACGGGAGACTGCCAAGAAACTCCAAAAACGCCCGAAAACCTCGAACCTCGAATCCGAAACTCCCTTCGCCGTCGGATTAAGAGGCCTCTTGGATGGGGTCCGAGCAGATGGGGTCGGAGGATCGCGCCGCATCGTCAACGCATCGGCCATGCACCGCCGATGCATCGTCGACGCCGGCGATGCATGGGCGCCATCGGCGTGACGCAGATCGGGCTCCACATCAAGCCGCATCGGCGATGCATCGAAGATATACCGAACGACCCTCCGACCCCATCGGCTCCAACCCCATCTGGGAGGCCTCGTGATGGGCCTCTTTTCCACCACCACCACCACCACAAGTTGGAGGGGGAGGGGGTCCTCCTTCTCCTCCTCCTCCTCCTCCTCCTCCTCCTCCTCCTCCTCCTCTCCTCCTAGTACTTCTCCTCCTCCTCCTCCTTCTCCTCCTCCTCTTCCTCCTCCTCCTCCTCCTCCTCCTCCTCCCCCTCCCTCCTCCTCTCCTCCTCCTCCTCCTCTCCTTCCTCCTCCTCCTCCTCTCCTCCTCCTCCTCCTCCTGTCCTCCTCCTCCTCCTCCTCCTCCTCCTCTACACTCTCCTCCCTCCTCCTCCTCCTCCTCCTTCCTCCTCCGCCTCCTCCTCCTCCTCCTCCTCCTCCTCCTCCTCCTCCTCCTCCTCCTCCTCCTCCTCCACCTCCCCCCCTCTCCTCCTCCTCCTTCTCCCCTCCTCCTCCCTCCTCCTCCTCCTCCTCCTCTCCTCCTCCTCCTTTCCCCTCCGCTCCTCCTCCTCCTCCTCCTCCTCCTCCTCCTCCTCCTCCTCCTTCCATCCTCCTCCTCCTCCTCCTCCTCCTCCTCCTCCTCCTCCTCCTCCTCCTCCTCCTCCTCCCCTCCTCCTCCGCCTCCTCCCTCCCTCCTCCTCCTCCTCCTCCTCCTCCTCCTTCCCCCCATCCAACTGAAATGTGAGTGGCCGTGGAAAAACCACCCATCGCCTAGCAATGCAGAACCTCCACCGACCTCGCCCTCGTCCTCGGCGAGGCCGCCGCCGCGCCCTCCGCGGGAAGGCCCAGCCGCGCGCGGCCTCCGGCGGGCCCGCCGCGCGCCCGCGGCGGCCGGGCGCGGGCGGGGCGGCCGCCTCCGCGGGAGCGCGCCCCGCGGGGGCGGGCCGGCGCCCGCGAAGGCGGGGCGGGCCGCGCGCCCGCCAGCGCCGCCGCGGCGGCGAGGGCGAGCAGCGGCAGGGCCCGCCGCGCGCGCGGCGGCAGCCGCCCCGCCCCGCGGCGGAGCGACGGGGGGGGGGTTCGGGGTGTCCGACGGGCGCAGGTGGCGGACCCTGGACAGCCAGCGGGGGCCCTGCCCGCAGGGGGCTCGAGCTCCCCGCGCTGCGGCTGCGTGTGAGCGGTGGCGCGCGGCAGCTGCAGTGTTCGGCCTGACCTTTGGGAACGACGGATCGGGAACGAAGGCCTGTCTTTGTCCAAGCAAGTCTAGGAAGTCCGAAAGATCACCAGGGGGGCTCGCCGCCAAAACGGTAGCGGAACGCATGTACACCAAAGGAACGACCGAGCCCTTTTTGAAAAGTAAGTTTTCCTTATTCAAGCCGGACCCTGTAGGCCCGTCGGGGCGACTGGGGGCACTAGGAGGGGGTGCGCGCGTCGGCGGCGCGGGCTCGAACTCTACTCACGGGGTGTTCCGTTTTTGTCGGCACGTGGGGCGAGGAGAATGTCGTGGTAAGATTGGCTCGGGGTGCGTTCCAAGATTTCCAGGGCATCTAGCGGCGCAGCCAGTGCGACACATTAGGAAATATGGGAAATCCTGGTAGCCTTGGAACTCTTGGAACGTATCATTCTCATGACCTCTTGCTCCTCTGATTCTGCGCTTGTTTTCCCTCGCTTGTTCTGTCCTCGTCCCGCCTCTGCTGCAGCGGGGCCAAAACGAAAACGGCCCACGAGATCGCCAAAACACCGTTTAGCTCGTGCCCTGCCAGCAACGTGGCGCTCACGGTCAGGAGCGTTTGCTTTGCGTGTCGCGGCGGCGGCCCAGGCGAAACGCTGTGCCCTGCGAGCGGATAGAGTGCCTCTCCGCTCCGCCGCTGTCCTCCGCAAGGCGGGAGGCGGGGAAAAGCCCGAGACGCTGGCGCTTGGGGGACTAGGACGTGCATAGCGTGTCGCGCCTAGACGTGGTGGACCAGAACCTGCGGAGCGACACGCTAAGCACAGCCCACATGACAGCCCACACGGCAGCCCCCGATGTAGTTTTTTGGGTCCCCAGACTGTGCGCTGACGGACCGTGCGGTGGCTTCGGAATCCCCAGAAAAGCCTCGCCGCAAGATCCGTTGGGACCCTGGAAGCCCCAGTGCCAATCGCCCGAAACAACGATGGAGAACGACCCCCTAGTCCCGTGACCGTGCGGCAACCCCGGATCTCCACTGACACGGTGCGGTCATCCCGCCGCCCCTGAGGATCCCCGGCACCCCGCCAGGCCTCTCGCAGGACGCTGCCGTGTCCCTCTCGCAGGAGGCGCCCGCGCTGCCAAGGGTCCACCGGCAGGGCCCGGAGCTCCTGCCATGGAGACGTCACCTTCGGCTTCACGCCGGGAAATACCCAACAAGTTTTTTATATCTGCGGGGCGAGAGCGAGCCTCTTCCGCTAAACGCTAGGCCCGGAGTGACCCAACAGGCAAGAGCGACCTTTGGTGCGCGACCTTAAGACGGACCCTGGGTAAGCAAGACCCTACGGGTAAGAGCGGCCTGGGCCACCCCAGATCTCCGCACCGGCCCTCTTCCGACTACCTGCTTTCGGGGCCACACCTCGGGTCTCCGCAGGAGCAAGGAACGGCGACACCGACACCAACAGGGCGAGGAGATGCAAGGAGGCAAGGGGGAACCCCCTGGTGGTGTGGCCCCCCCCTCTCGCTCGAGACATCCCCAGCCTCCAGCTCGGAGAGGCATCGTGGACCTCCTCGCTGGCGGTGGGCCCCCTGGTGGTGTTGGTATCGCTTCGGGGATCTTCTGACCCGGGTCAACCCAGACCCGGGTCAGCAGGAAACCAAAAACTGCAATGCAGGAGTAAAAACTGCAACGCAGTCCTTCGCAAACCCGGGTCAGCCAACATGTGCGGCCGCCTCGCGGCCACGAGCGGCTCGCGAACCCGGGTCCGCCAGAGGGGGTCTTCGCAGGATCCTGCAGGATCCGGTGCCGTGGCTGACCCCCGTTTGCATTGACCCCCGTCTCAAGGCTCCCGATCGCTTCTCCCCTGCCTACCTACCAGACCACCCCAACCCAACCCGAAGACCCGAATTTCGGGTTGGGGGGGGGGGTAAGGGTTCCACACGTGCTCTTTCGATGCTTCCCGGACCCCCCCCCCCCACTGGAAATCGAGGGTAAATCTGAGCCTTCGGGTTGGGTTGCGGTGGTTTGGTGGGTAATGATCCCCCCTCCGGCTCCGGCGGCCGCTCGGGGCGAGCGGGGCACCTCCGGAGATGGCTCTCGGCGCGGCGCGGCTGCGGGACTGCACCCCGCGGCAGCCTCGCCCCGAGGGGCCGAGGGCGGCGCCCGACGGCCCCGCACCCCCCGCTGACTCGCCACACGGTGTGGTCCAGGGCTGGACTTAAGCGGTGGTTTTCGTGTTCGTGCTCGTCTTGCTTTCGTTCTCCCCCGCCTTGTCCTCGGTCCGCCGCTGCCGCCGCTGCCCGCAGAACGACGTCGGAGCGGAAGCGGCCCACGAAGTCGCCCAAACAACGCTTCGGTCCAGCCCTGGTGTGGGCCCCCCACCCTCTCTCGGGGGCCCCGATCGCCCCACCCAACCCCCGACGTCGTTTTTTTTCGCAACGTCGACCCCCAGAGGTCTGGACCCCTTCCCCGGGGACCAGTTATTATCCACCATGACCATGAATCGTTTGTCGACGGCCCAGGGGCCTGGCAAGGCCCCCCAGGGGCAGAACATTAGGATTAGGTCGGGTGTGTCCCCCTACAGGCGGATTTTGGATGAAACATACAAGATAGCCAAAACATGCTACTACTTAAAAATAGTCCAAACATCGTCCCCAGACTATTTTCTTAACTGTTTTTGGAGTATTCCTCCTGTGGAGGGACACGCCCGACTCAAAATTAGGAGAAAACTTCCGTCGCGAATCCGTTCCACAGCGCGCGAGGAGGAGGAGGTGGAGGAGGAGGAGGAGGAGGAGAAGGAGGAGGAGGCGCGAGAAGAAGGAGGAGGTGGAGGAAGGAGGAGGAGAGCAGAGGAGGGAGGAAGTAGGAGAGGAGAGATGGAGAAAACACAGGGAATGAGGAGGAAGGGGAGTGATGAGAGGAGGAGGAGGAGGATGGAGGTAGAGGAGGGAGGGAGAGCGGAGGGAAAGGGAGGTGGATGAGAGGTTCTCTGAGGTTGCCTTTCCGAAACCGCAATTCGCAAGCCCATTTGCGGGGCGCCCAACTGCCGCGGGGGACGGCCTTCAATAATATAAACCGCAACGCAAAGCGTCACGTGGGCCTCACTGGCCCCTGATCTGGCTCCTTGCCAGGGAAGGACCGCCCGCCGCGCGCGGCCTGCGCTCCCCGGCGCCGCGGGGCGGCGGGCGCGGCCGCGCCGCGATCGATACGGAGCCTCAGAGCGTGTGGAAGCCCTTCAATGCGGCATCAACAACAACAACATCTACAACAACAACAACAACAACAACAACAACAACAACAACAACAACAACACCAACAACAGCAACAACCACAACAACCACAACAACAACAACAACAACAACAACAATCATTTTACCCGAACGCTCAGTGTTCTCACCAGTGCCAGGGTTTTCATGCGACGCGAGACAATACCCCCACTTCGTGGGGGGGCAGTTCAAGCTCTACCAAATATCCAAACGACTCTTCGCGACCACCCAAACCCAGCTTCCCGCCCTATGACGTTGGGACACTTCACTTCGTGGCGTGCGGACGACCGAGGCTACTACACTGGCGTGGGGTACACACCCACAGAACTTGGTCACTTATTCGGGGCGCGCGTGTGCCCAGCATCCTGCAATTGTGACATACAATACATGACACAGACAGACAGAGAGAGAGACAGAGAGCTGACAGAGAGAGAGACAGAGAGAGCGGAGTTGGTCACATTTTTGGGGCAAGTTCCTGAGATCGTCGTGTTTTTTTTTTGTTGGGTCTTAACGCTCGCGCGAATGTCCACTTTACTTTTTTTTGCAAGGGAGTATTGAAATTTGATTATGTTAGAACAAGAAAAAGTAGCTCGCGCGAGCTCATGTAACATAATTGTTGAAAAACCATTGGTTTTGTGGGAGTCGGACAGCGCGCGCGGGATGAAATTTGGACATTTTTTTTTGAAAAACCATTGGGATTTTGATGTTTTTATGTTGAAATCGTTACGAAACCTAAGGTTCTGGAAGGATTTCGTCTTGCGCGCGCGAATGTCCACTGTACCTTATTTTTTGCAAGGGATTATTGAAATTTGATTATGTTAGAACAAGAAAAAGTAGCTCGCGCGAGCTCGTGTAACATAAATGTTGAAAAACCATTGGTTTTGTGGGATTCGGACAGCGCGCGCGGAAGGACATTTTGACAATTTGTTCTTAAAAAACCATTGGGTTTTTGATGTTTTTATGTTAAAATCGTTACGAAACCTAAGGTTTTGGAAGGATTTCGTCTTGCGAGCGCGAATGTCCACTTTACCTTATTTTTTGCAAGGGATTCTTGAAATTTGATCAACTAAGAACAAGAATTTTCATTTTCTATTGGTTTTTGCAAGGGAAAACGAGCGTCAACAAAAAACCGGATCCGGACACAATCCACTTTTCTGAAGCTTTCGCTAGAAAATGAAGGAAATGAGGCTGCGGCCTAGGTTTTGGAGGGGGGTCGCGCACCAGGGGTCTCAACAATAATATTTCTTTAGAAGTAATAATATTCAACAACAACCACAACAACAACAACAACAACAACAACTACGCCAGCCACGAGGGCGGTGCAAGGAGGGCCAGTGGTGATTGATTGATACACCACCAACCAAACAACCAACCAACCAACCAACC